TATCGTCGTCCTACGTTTTACCATCCGCTGTAACTACCGCGTGGGATCCAATTCGTTATTTTTCCTTCCTTTAATGAAAATCGTAAAAATGTTTCGCACTTTTTATCGCGGGACGATCACGATCCGATCCTTTTTATACCGACTTTTTATATCCGCCTCCCCTCGATATATAATAACGTTTTCGCTTTACTTTTTACACCCCGGCCAAACACGAACCCTTCTCTAATCCATTTTTTCGTCGCTCGATATTAGTCGTCACATCGGGAAAAACGATTCCTCGTAAACAACCAATCTATTATCCCCTTTGTCGGCTCGATGGCTCGTCGTCTAAAAGTTAGACGGGTTATCCGAATATGTACCAACGGTGTATTATATATTTGAATAGGGTGTTATAAATCATCCAGTCTTCGAAAGAAAAGAGAAAAAAATAAAGGGGGAAACGAAACACGAAACACTTTTCCGGAAAGTTAACAAAAAGCAAACTTGGATATTCTCTTGAAGATTTTGTTCTTGGCTTTGTTATTTCGTATAAAGGAAAATTGGAGTAGAAGAAAATAGGATAAAGTTTGCTCGTTTTCGGCAAATGGAACGAAAGCGAAACAACAGGGTGGAAATTCATTTATATATCCGTCATTAAATCGTTAGCCGGATATTTTGGCGAAAGGTCGTCACGGTGTATAATTTCATCGTTTCAACAGCAGAAATTGTTTTTATCCGCGACGAATTGGAATTTAATTGAAACGAACGATATCCACGGCGCGGAAATGGGCACGATAGGCCGTCGATAAAATAATTAGGGCGAAAATCTGGGAAAAGAGATCGTTCCCAAATCCCCCAAGGATTAAGCCGATTTTCACGTCATAAATTTCCCATTACCCTCGAATAAAGAGGGACCTCTGCACCGGCACTCGAATTGAAGAATAACCGGGACGCGTTGCGTCGCGAACAGTGAAGGCAATTAACGTCGAAATCAATTGGCAACACTGTTTTTGAACACGGTGTGCGTACATTTCCAAACGATCCTACAATCTGGCGTTTATTCGTAAAATTTACACGTAAAATTCTACTTTTAACGAAATAGTCTCGTTTCCGCTTAAAACTTCGCACCGTGAAATCGAAATCCAACGTAACGTTTTATTATAGTCGTATACAGTTATAGGAATAAAGATACGCGGCATAAATGGAATAAAATAAAAAAATTCGTGTTTTTTCCCTTTCTTTTTTCCCCTTTCCGAATTAGCAAAACATCTTGTTTACTTTCATTTCATAAAACTTACGCGATATAAAACAGCGCTACGTTTTTATCCACCATAGGAAAAGTTGGTAAATATTTGCGGCCGGTGCACGAGTTGGGAACGTGTATCCGATTCGAGGAAAGAAGGAAACAACGTTTGACGAGTTTTTTCAGACGAGACGTGTAGATAATTCAACTGGTAGGAGGAAATCGTGCGAGGTGTACCTTTTACCGTTGAAAAATTCTTAATGGAAAATTCGAACGATCCATCCGTGGGAAACACGGATCGTTAGAGGACGAAAAACATCTCTTTGTTTCTTTCTCCTTTTTTTTCGTGAAAACGAGCGAAACTTACTTACAAAAGATGCTTACTCCGATTAATATCTTCTGAAACTCGTCTTCCAAATCTTTCCGTTTCGCGTTAAATAAAAAAAAAAAGCTACCCTCTTACGAAGAGGGTTAAATTAAATTTGAACGATCAGTTATCAAATATTCAAAAAACACCTTCGAAATATTTTTTTCGCGGAAGACGTCTCTTATTTTTATCCATATCTTTTCCAATACGTATCCATCCTCGTGGATGAAAATCCACGCTTCGTAGTTACCGATCAATTCCTCGCAATCCCCTCCGAATCGAATCCTGACCACGTTCGAATCTAGAAATCACTTTCGACTCTTCGGGGAATCACGGTGGAAGATGCGCGAGAAATACAAAAATTCGTATAGATCCGAAACGACATTGGCTAAATTTCAACAGGATTATGAGGGAAGGGAAGGAAGGAAGGGAAGAAATTGGAAATCCAAGGAAAATGACAAATGAATTCCCGAGGGGGGATAGATCTGGTAAAATTTCAAGGTTGGACGATGATACATTCCGTCGTGGCCATTCCTCGAATTTCATGATCAAAAGGGAACTGTTAAAAGCGTCCGTCCCCCGCGACGCGTGCACAACTCGTCAAAGTTGAGATATCGATAACCATGGTGGAAAGTTTGAACCTTGCGTACGCCTTGTTTGGTGAAATTTCTGAATCCATGGTTTCGTAAATAATAAGGTTTTGTTATTCGCCGATGGAGAGGGAGGGGTAAGCTCTATATCGATAGAAATTCGCGAGTACACGAGCATCTCTGTTACAAGTGGCGTAAAGTTGGAGACGTAAGTTTACGCGGTGAAACTTATCTCTTGAATAGGGATGGAAATTACGCGAGAAGGAAAGGGCGCGGACGAGTTTATAAATAAATCTCTGGCGGGTGAATAATAACGGCGGATTGCGAAACATCCCCTTTGAGAATGGTCCTTAATTTCCACGATGATGATTAGAAGCGGAAGGTGATACAATCGAGAGATAATGAAGCGTGAAAGTAAGGAAGGGGGAGGGAGGGGTGCTTTGGAAAATCTCCCCTCTCGCGAAAAATGCGATCGATCGGTATTCCGTTGCGAACTGCGGTATTTCCATGCGAAAGCGGACGAGATTCCCGCCGCTTTAGAGTTTCCTCCCTTCTCTTCGAGAAAATAGTCGCGACGCAGACCTTTCTTTTCTTTCCCCCTTTTCCTTCTTTTCCCTCCTCTCCTTCCTTCCCCTCCTCCTTCACCGCCCGACGCTTTTTATCGTTTCTTTCCTTTTCCCCCCGCGGTTTCGAAGAAAGCGATTCAAGCCATTCAAGTAAGAGGGACGCTCGTTGCTCGATGGGAGAACTCGCGACACTTTTGCGTACGATTTCATTCTCGAAGAGGATGGACACTGGAGGGAATCGTGAATGGCGATTTACGACGGATTTTCCTCGCCTCGGAAAATATTGCGCCCATTTCCTTCGCACGAAAACGGAAGAGGGGGGAGGGACGCGCGTGGGTCGATCAAACGCGCGGATGACGGCCAGAATTTTCATTCATACCGCGGTTCATAAATATCCATCGTGCGAGTCACGATTCGCAGAGAATGATTCGCATCGCGGCGATGGATCCCTCCTCGATACGCCAATATGTACGCAACATTCTAACATTTTTATCATCGACGGGTATCTCGGAATCGTCCTGCGCATGGAGGATGACCGCTAAATAACTCAGGATCGTGTCTTATCTGGATCAACCGGACGATTTATCACGCTCGTCTCGAGCGAGCAACAATTCGTTCGACACACGTGCGCGCGGTATTATTAATGGAAATCGTTGGCTCGCCTCTAATCGCCACGAAAATAAACGACTATTCTATTTCTTCGCGCGAACCTCCTTCTCCTCCTCCAGAAGAACGAAACGCGCGTCCTTCGTAAACGATCGTGCAATTCTCGCCCGATAATTTCCTCCCTGTCGCGATCCCTTCCGTATAAATTCCCCCCTCGAACGCCTCCCCTCTCGAATGGCAACACGAACGAGATATATTCATACTCGCAAACGCCAAATATTTATGATCGAGCCGCGTATCCATCTATCTTCCTCTTCCTCCCCCTCCTCTTATCCGCGTCCCTCTTTTATTTCATCCATCTCCAGAGTTACGAGATACGAATCGTGATACGATAACGTTGAAAGCCTGGTTTCGAGGCTTGGAAACAATTTCGCGCGGCGGTGCAAACGCGAGTTTCATTTCCGCGCGTTCCATTTACATTTTTGTTACGTTGTAAACGTTGAAATAATCGTATATGCGCGAGCAACCAAAGAGAGAGAGAGAGAGAGAGAGAGACAGCTGGTCGCTGGATAATTAGTCGATAGAGCGATTACGAAGCTTTGGCAAATGGAGCGAAAACGCGAAAACTGGGCATTTGGGAACCGCAGGATTCAGCTCGTTGGTGTAAAGACAAAGTGAATCCTAACGATCGATTCGCGGTAAATAATTTCCGGATAATCTTGGTACGTGCCAGGAGGACGAGAACCGCATTTGCATTCCAACGACTTCATTACCGGCCGTATCGCCTATCGCCGGCGGAATTTACGCCGGCGGCCGCCATTTCGGTAGGACAGAAGAAGCAGTCTCGTTTTGTAAGTCGCGAGGGGGAGGAATTCGGATCTTCGAGATCGCGTTACAACGGGGGAAGGGGGAAGGGAAGGGGGCATAGATCCCAATTTATCGTATGGAAAACTCGTATACAACCGATTGGACGAACTCGTCGGGCATTAAAGATCGCATTTGTCGAAGAATGGAGGAAGCTGGTATGGATAATCGCGTTACGAAGACGATAAGCTTCGACAACAGAATTTTCCGCGCCGTTGCCCTTTTAACGATCGATCAATCGTTCCCACGTTCGAATTTACGTCTCGACGAACGATTCGCTCTGCTCGTCGGATAAAAAAGCCCGCGGAAAAGTACGATCCATCCTCCGAATTATCCACTCCTCGGAGCGGAACGAANAAAAAAAGAAGAAGAATCGCGTGACGAATACCTCGAATAATTTGGTCGGACGCCAGAGCGGCATCCGTCGCTAACGATATTAAAATATTTATATGGCCAAGCCGACCAATCAACTAGATTAGTGCGGGGAATTCGAACAATAACGCTTTATCTCTCGATCGTTTCTCCGAAAACTAGATCGTTAATCCGAAACTATCCCTGAATAAAACTGTCGATAAAAATAGAGAGAGAGAGAGAGAGAGAGAGGGAGAGAAAGAGGCATCGATGCGATACAGAGAGAATAAAGAGATGACACGTATTTTTTTTTTTTTTTTTTTTTTTTTTGCGGAACAAATTACGAACGGACGAAGAAGAAGAATGACTCCATTTCCCACGATCGCATCGGCTACGATTTCTAACGACAATGTTGACTCTTTCCTCCGTTTCAGCCGAGAAAGGGATGCTGCTGAGGCTCGACTTTCGGGACGAGTTCAAGCTCGAGGATAGTACCGACTGCCGTTACGATTATCTCGAGGTACGTGACGGCCAGCACGGGTACGCCAATCTCCTCGGCAACTTCTGCGGCACGAATTTCCCCCCCGAGATCACGTCCAAGACGAGGTATCTTTGGCTACGATTCCACAGTGACGAGAGCATCGAGGGAAAGGGGTTCAGGGCCGTTTGGAGTATGATACCAAGGCAAACCAATATACGTAAGTCTCACGATCCGTTCCAACCCCCTCCGTCACGGCCTTGTCATTCCGTCATTGCGAGATTTTCTTAGCCGAGCGAGTAACGAGGCCGGGAGAATCCCGCTGAAAATTTGCCACCCCACCCCGTGATAATAATTCACCAGGCGACGCGATTGAATCGGCGAATAATTTCCAACTCCGGGGAGCGGGGATTATTTCGTAGATTGAGAGAGGATTTCTACTTGCGCGTCACGTGTCGATAGGGTTAGGACCTTCGTTAATCAGGAGACAGATAGGATGGATGTATTTCTGTATATGTGTTTCGTTCGCGCGATCGAAAGTGATCAGCGTGACAGGGGATGCATCCATTTTTCAAATTCAATTCTTATAATTAAAATTACGTTTAATTATATTTTTGTTTATATTTCCGTATCATCGATCGATTTCAACTTTGTTTCTTTTCTTTCCTCTTTTATTTCGATATAATTTTCGCGTGATGAAAAACATGTATATTGCGAAGAATATCGTAGAATATGTACGTAAAGAGCATCGATAATAATCGTAATAAGACGTATATATATATATATACGTCCCTGCTGCAGAACCGAGACCGATGAATAATCATGATTCAGCTTTAATGAAGGTTCTAGCGTAAATTTCACGCGAAATTTCGGTTATTTATCGAGGAAACGCAAAACATTTTATGTGACTTTGATTTTAATTCTAATTTGTTCCGGGGCAATGCTGTAAAGTGAAAAGTTTTTGATTTGTAAGTCCATTATACGCGAAACGACTGTACAGTCGCAACGTGTCAACGTTTTATATAACGGGCAAAAAACCGTAAAGAATCCGAGCGTAAAATAAACCGTTTTGTCGTTCAATATTTCGGCCGGGGGAAATATTAGAGAGGTATTTTCCGCGTTGATAAATTCCACGCTTCCGCGAAAGTCGGCGGGAAGGGAGGAACGAGTGGGAATTTATATACCGCGGCAAAAATCGTTGTTCATTCATCGAAAACAAACGTTACTGGCGAGCCGCGGCACTCAGATTAGAATACTCGTTCGGACATTAGCCCCGGCGACATCGACCAACCAATTGGGAAGCTTCCAATCCAACGGATTTCCCCGGCCACCCAACTTCTGTCTCTGAGGGGGAAAAAAAATTTTCTCTCTCTCTCTCTCTCTCTCTCTCTCAATTTCGCCGACGATAAATTCTACATTCGCGGATATTCGCGTATGGAAAAAAAAAAATATTCTATAAATAATTTCAATATTAATATCTGTCACCGTGCAGAGATATTACCACTATTTGAATAATTTCTCGGCAATTTGCGAAAAATTACATTGGAAATATTTCGAGTTGAGAGAAAAATCGCGAGAAATAATTATTCGTAATGGAACGGGATTCGAAAGTATTGTGAAAAGTATGCTGTAAAGTGAAAATGACAAAAATATGCGCGTCAAGTATTAATTTGTAATTCGTAATTATATGCGAATTTTTACATTCAAAGTTTCGAACTCGATACAAATTCTTTGCAACATCTACAAACTACGAATCATCGCGAGAAAATGATGATCCGTAACTCGAAACTCGGTCAATCCCACGATAAATATAAATATAAATATCGTGCAAAAATGATTGTTCAATTTCCAGATGGTACGTAATCTCTTAACTTAACTCAATGTGGGACGATTCCTCGTTACATTTGATTTTTCGCCTATACGAAACAACGATAACCACGATTTCACGGCGGTCGAATAAACCGGATTGGCAGGAACACGGCGTCTCGTACACTTCATTATTTCCCCGCATTTGCGCGCATCCGACGCGATAAATGCCGTTTGAGCATTCGAGTATTGCTCTTAACACGCCCCAAAACGCGTCGCTTTCGAGAATCGTTCCCGAAAATCGGTTCCCTAACGAGGGATTAAAATAGCGGCGCGTCGGTATCGTTGGATTCGAGAGAGGAAATTAATCAGATGCCGAGAGAGGGGGGGGGGAGGACTGGGGTTGAATCTTTCCGCGCGTTTCAATAACTCTCCCTCCTCGGTGTCCATTGTGCACCGATGCTCGCCAATTTCATAACGCCAATTCGAAACGGGGGACGGGAAGGGGAAAATTAATTATCTCTTAAACAATGGCCCCGCGGATTTTTCTCTCCTTTTTTTTTTTTCTTTTTTTGTTGATTATTCCACAATCGGCGTTTTTTCCCTTCTCTTTTTTCCTCTCCCCCCTTTTTTTCTTTCTTTTTTTTTTTTTTCTTTTTTTCCCCCTCGCCAACGGTGCTCGCTTCGTAGAGGAACGAGGAACGGAACAGGATTCTCTTCGATGAGGAGGGAGCTCATCGACGAGCTCTCGTTCAAGCTTCACCCCGTAAATGAGCGGATCGCACTTTATCCTATACGGGAAATGAAACGTGGCGCGCGAGTTTTTAAATAGGCGCGAATAAATATCCGATATACAGATATACGGAGAATGTAGCGTAATGTTGTTGTAATAGAGGCGGGAGTGCCACCAGAGCTGGAGGATTGCGTAAGGGACGTGAGCGGCGTGCAAGCGATCATTAGCAGCGAGGACGTGATAGAGAGGAAGATGCTATGCGAGAAGGAAGGCATCCCTCTCGATTGCTTGTGGAACATCACGGTCAAAGAAGGATGGAAGGTAAAAAAAAAAAATTTAATCATCCTTCTCTCTCCCCGCGAACGCCATTTCATCATCGTGTTCCATTTCCTCTCCTCGTTCCGCGATGACAACTACTACTCGATCACGAGCTCAGTTGAAGAGAGAGGGAGAGAGAGAGAGAGAGAGAGAGAATGAAATAACAGGTGCGAATATATACGGAATGGAATACTTTATGGAGTCGAAAATACTCGATGACATCCTTTGTCGCGCATCCTTTGATCCCTTAATTTGTACCGTTTCTTTCCGGTCAAACGGGAAATCCTGGGCCCGTCACAAGAATGCCAGTAATTACGACACACTCTCTCTCTCTCTCTCTCTCTCTCCCTCCTTCGTGAAACGCACCTCGTCCAATCGCGAGAGAATCCTTTGAGTTTTTTGATTCGTCGATCGGGACAGCGATCGGGAGAAGTGGCGTTTATCGGAACACGGGGACACGCGTACAACTTTCAGATTCAGCTGACGTTCTCGGATCCCTTCAAACTGCAACGACCGAACGAGTGCGACGCCAACTTCGTGGACGTGTTCAAAGAACGCACTGACATGTCCTCGAGAGAGAAGAATTTCTGCGGAAGTATCGCCGACACCGTCCTCATCGGGGCCAATATCGCCTTTGTCAGGTTTTACACGGAGCCTAAAGCGTTGAACAGCAGCTTCGAGGCCGTGATGACAGCGCTCAGGGACAGAGATTCCGGAGACAAACGTGAGTTTCTCCATTAATTGTTCATCCGTTGTCCGCGATAGCTTTTATCTCATCGTAATAATCGCGTCCACGGATATATTATATTTCGCGGAGCGAGGGCCGTTCTCACCCTACGTTCATCGCCGATTAATCATTCTCAGAGCTACGCGGCCCGCTAAACATTGCCTTTCAATTTTCTCCTTCAATTCGATTCAACGATAACTCGAGTAGTATCTTAACGCGGAAATTTCACCTGAAATTAATTTCATATTCAAAATGGAACAACGAAAACGTAATTAGTCCAACTTCCAACTTGTGCTTTTATTATTAATTTCCAACGTGCGTAAATTACGCGTATCCTTGCAACGTAACCAACAAACAGTTTTGCAAAAATTCAGCACGCCTCCTTAAAGCTTGCATCGATCCGTAGTGTAGTCCAACGTAGTTGGATAATTAAGACGTTGTAATTAATTACGTTCGAAATGGCGGCGCGCGTATCGTATCGCGTCGAGCGGCATGACTTTCGCTTACACATCGAGAGAGAACGTATAAATTACGCGAGAATATCGCGGGAGAACGGGACGTACGAGATACACGTTTGAACGAAATGCAAGATTTATTTATTCGTTCAATAAATTTATTAATTGATTAATTAGCGAAATCGTTGACGAATTAATCCGGGAGAATTATTGAAACTTAGCCGCGAAGGTGGAAGGGAAATGAAACAGGGATAAATCAATTATATCTCTCGACAACGATCTCCCTCGCGATAATAGAATATACGTGCTAATAATCGGGATTTTACGCGCGTATCGCGAACAAGAAAGTTTAATATTCATTATAACCGTATGCCGTGCGGAGTATTGCGCGGAGATCTTTGTTCGCGGCACGCAAGTAATTCCCGATGTTAAGTTTCATTAAATTTAACACCCGTGTTCCTCGTTTGCTAGTACAACGTTCGTGTTCACGGAATAGGGAGATACGGTCTAATGGAAATTTATAAATTAACATCGTCGCTCGCGTGTTTTATATACATTTAAATAAATAAACGACGGTGAAAGGGTATGCATAATGCAAAGAAGCAAAAAGCAATTAGATGATTAGTCTAATCGAACGTGAAACAAAAAGAGAGGGGAGGAAAAAAAAGTCATTCCATCGCCATTGTTGATTCAATCGTGAAATATTAACAACGCGAACTCCATTAACCGAAGTGACTCGGTAACCAGTAATTATTAACAAAACGAAAAATCGATATGCCAGTGGTGGAACAACAATGGCAAATTGGAAAGTGGAATATCTCACGGTTGGATGGAGAATGCGATATATATATATATGTATATATTTCACTCGAACACGAGATCGACGGAAACAATGAAAATTTTCTTACGTTCTGATATCGTCAAACAACGCTCCCCCCCCCCCCGCGGCATATTTCGAATAGTTCTCTTTTCGCCGGCTGGATGGAAGAATATATATTAAATTTTCCCTCGGGCTCGAAAACCGCGGGGTCGTAACGAAATATGGTTAAAATTATATCTAGAGCGACGCGTCTAGAGGGACGAAAGGGATGCGGAAAAAAAAAAAAAAAAGAAAGAAAAAAGACAACGCAACGCGTTTACCTCCGTTATTCGCGTCGGATTCGAAGGCGAAAGAAAACGAGCAAACAGGACGAACGCCCGGGGCCAATAATTACAAGTGATATCGATAAAAACGAGTTTATCGGTTTAACCGGTTCATATCGGGGGAGAGGGAATAATCGAGCGTGAAAGGATTCGATTTTCGAAATTAATGTAATGTGGTAATGTCGTGGTTGAATGGCAAATGGAGCGAGCCGGGCAACGAATGCAGATACCAGGCTCTCTCTTTGCACCTGCCACCCCCCCGGCTACGACTAATATCTCTACGAGTGATTTGACCGCGGATTCGGTGCGAATTTCCATCCCCTTTCCCCTATTCTTATCTCTCGTAACGATAAAATTTCGAACGAAAATTTTTCTTATCGAATCGAGAGGTTCTCGAACGACGAAACTCTTTCTATAATTATTTTTTCCTTCGTTCCTCTTATCGTTCCTGCCTCTTCGAATTCAACGTTTAAAGAAAAAGAAAAAAATTAATTTTTCGTTCGTTTCAGCTTGCCTCGATAACGAATTCTACTGCGAGGACGCGACTTGCATCGCCGCGGAATTGCAATGCAACGGCAGGGTGAATTGCCGCTTCCGATGGGACGAAGAGGATCAATCTTGCAACGTGAGCAAACGTTATATCTAGAGTAAATTCAATGGCGATCCTTCTTACCGTCGTTAAACATTTTCGTGCTCGAATTACGCTCCCAACTCCTCTCTTTTTCTCCCTTATCTCCACCAACTCTTATCTACGCCACTATTATTTTCTCCTCCGGTGAAACGTTGTTTATGCAAGGGCAGTCGACGCTTTTCGCGTTATCGAGGGTGGGGGAGAAGGAGGTAGCAGGAAAAGTTGAGCGCAATTTTGTTTTATATATGTCAACGTGAAACGGGCAACTTCAAAGATCTCGAGCAACTTTAAGGAACCGTAGCGAAGGGACGGCGAAGTGGGTCTTTAATAAGATCTCTTCTTTTGTCATTGTACTGTTGCGACTAAGCAGACCCATTCGAAAGCACCTCCATTGTGCTACAGCGAGCCGGTCTACTTTAGAGAAGGGCCGGAATGCTCGTATACATTGCAATGGAAAATTCCTTGGCCTTACGTACGCATGTAACGCGTTATCAAGGATCGCACAATGCGATCGTTCGATGAACAATCGTTTAACAGCGATTATTCCTGGGAAAATGTGAAATTATCCACCTCCTCCTCGGTATTACTTCTCTAAAATTAATTAATCAAATATTGCGCGTAAACATGGTTTCGCATCTGGAGCAACTGGATAATTCGAAACAATTTTCGTTCCCATTGCGATCACTGGCAATTGAAAAGAATTTGCAGAAATTTTCACTGACGTTACACGGAGATTTCGAATTAAGTTCCACGGGAGTTGTTACCTCTTCGCGTATATCCAGTGCGTACAACTCTAACGAAGTCTTAATATTCTCCCCCTGTCTTTTCCCCCCTGCCTCTCTGACCGCGTGCTCGGTAGTTAATTAATTTATTCAAGGCTGCCTTTGCTCGAGCCGGTAACTCCACTCCCACCTGCGGACACAGCTTCGCGATACGCGCACCGTCGCAATCGTCCCTCTCCAAAGGAGGAGGGGGAGGGGCGTATCCGGTTCCGGGGAGAGGTGTAAAATAGTATGCGCTTTTGGCAAACTGCCGAAACAACAAGCTATCTCCGAAACGACGCCGCTGTGCCATCGACGGGATATTAATCCAGAGGCAAATAATGCGCTATCGTTCGATCGTCCTCCGTTTTCTCTTCCCCTCTTTGACTTTGGCATCCGATACGCGAATCGTCGGGCGCAACCCCTTCGATCGATACGATAAGAGTTCGTCCTTGCATCGTTTGATCGATGCCCCCCCCCCCCCGTGGATCGTCCTCACCGATCGATATCAATCCATCGTTATCATCGGTATCGTTTCGAAAACGTCGTTTCCACGATGAGAAACGATCGTTTTCAACGATGGAACATCGACTTGGTTGCAAGAAGCGAGAAGAGATCGAATGGCTCGTTAAAATCGAATAAGGATGATTCCTCTTGCTCCCACGCGAAAAGTCAAAGATCGAGGTGGAAGATGGACGCGGATAAAGTTGGTCGACGGGTAAGGTGAAAAAGGAAAAGGCTGTCCGTTTAAGGGGAGGGAGAGAAAGGGGGTCCCGGTTTGAGGTCACTTGTTCCGTAATATTCATCGGATTCAGAAGATGGTGAACTTCTTGTCCCTGGGAGGCGGCCCGCGTTAAAAAGGTTATCCCCTTGAAAGATGGCCGTACGTGGGGGGATTCCTTTGTGCCCGTACGATTTATCGGGAACGCGGGCGTACAACAAAGCCTCCTCTTCTTCTATTTCACCGGTGTGCACGAACAAGAGAATCCATTTCTATTTTACCCGGAAACTTGACGAGCGTGAAAAGCCACGATATAAACAACTCGCCCCCGCCTCCCAACCAGGCTCTGGCCGCGTTCCACCATTTTTTTTTTTTTTCTACACGTGGCTTTCGTCGTCGTCCACGATGCAAATGTTTTTTAATGCACACGATCGTTTTTTTTTCCTTTTTTTTGACGTGACATTTTCCTTACTATTCGTTCATTCGTGGAAAACGTTTCGAAAGCGTTCGTCGATTTCGCGCGCACGCCCCCAACCCGCCGCCAATAATCCACCATTCCTGATTTCTAATTCCGTTTCTAATTCCACCCGTTCCAAAACCGACATAATAGAGCGAAACGCGTTCGATTCACCGAGCCGGTTCGATTCACCGAACCGGTGAATATCAACAAGAATCATCATCCACCACCGTATCGATAACTCTATCGAACTTGGACCGTATTACATTCGCTGTGGGGAGATCGACACGTTTACAATCTTTCCTGTTGCTCCTTCACCCTCGATATTTCCTGGCCACCTGACAGTGCGGAAGCCGGACCGTGACGGAACGACGTAAAAAAGGAATGATTTCCCTTCCCTTCCGCGATCTGTTTAATCTTTCAGAGGGTGCGCGGAGAATTACGCCAACGACCGAGATATTTTTTTTACGGGGCAAAGATAAGAAACTCGGAACGGATGGTCGGGCAGGGCTGTAATATTTCTCGGATTGTGAGTCGTGCAAAGGGGAATATCGGGAATTGGACGTGACGCCGCGACAAGTGTCGGAAATTAAAGGGATCTTTAACTTCGAGGTGGTAAAAAAAATAACACGTTGATATTCTGATCGAAAGAATCATTCGAAGGATAATTTTACGTTTGAGATACTCGAAGAGAGTAGAAAATGAAAAATCGTCTTCCCTTCGTGTTTACGAAGCAATGTTCCCTTTCTCTCTCCCTCTCTATCTAATCATTTCGTTACCATTATTCCCTACCTTATTCCTATCCCAGGACGTCCACCCTGTCTCACGACCGCAATAAAGCACGACGAGATTATACGGGACGATAGCGGGTCCGTTCGCATGGGAACGCGGCCACGAAATTGAAGGAACAGAACGCGGGACGAAATCGTGATGAATGTAACATGGTAATCGTCCCGTCCAATTTTTATCTCTCTCGAACGGAAAGTGCATCGTTTAACGCTTCCCGGTATAAATGCTAATGGAAGAGGAAAAACAAATAACGTGAAAAGAAGAGCAAGAAGACGAAGGAGGTAAAAAAATAAATAAAAAAAGAAGATTGGAAACGTCGCTACCAAGCGTAGTTCCCTCGCGCGTTATTAAACTGCGTGCACGCGATTAGGTAAATGAAAGGCAGCCGAGGTGGAAGGAAATTTTGCATGATTGGCTCGGCCAAGGAGTTTAAGAAGAAAATTCGACGGATCGAGGATTGATAGTCGGGAACCTCCTCCCTTCCCCTCCTCCCACATCACACTGATTAACTTTCGTTTCAAGTATCAATCTTGAAGATTCAATTGCACGCGACTCGAACGAACGAAATAAGTCGCGTTTGATTCTTTTTCCGGTTCGATTGGCTTCCTCTTCATTTATATCCATCGAGCCTGTTCGCTTTAAGATATCGATCCCCGAGCTACTAGCCATGCCGTCGAGATATTCTATGATAATTACCGCCGTAAGAATGTTCTTTAATTATCGGTATTTTCCTCGATCCTATCCTTACCCTTCGGGCAACGTGGGGAAATCGGGAACATAACGAAATTATCATCCTCGCCGCGCATTCGTTACTTCCTCCCCTCCCTCCGTTAATGAGAAGTTCTTCAGCATTTTTTGCGATCGCGACTAATTATTATTCCTTGCTTTCCCTCCCGAAAGAAGCGAATCCTCGGCCGGACTTGTCATTAATTTGAACGCGAATCCAGCGATCTCCAGCGATCTCCAGGGTCAAGGAACGAAGGGGGAGGGAAACGAACGCCAGAGGATTCTCGTCCTGGAGTTAAAGGGGATGTTTGATAAAATCGCGAACGAGCAAGATACGAATTGTGACTAGGTGATAATGAGGGTGTTGTTCGATGTTCGGGGTAATATTGTTGAATAATAATGAAAATACTGTCACGTTACGTTAATTTTTAAGATTAGATTCGGCGGCAAGTCATCATGGATTTGACAACGAAATAAAATTTCCGCGCCGAAATTCTCTCGTTGCTCGGCGGATTATTACGCGAAATAAAATGCAGATGCGAAACGGAGGGAGGGGGGAAAGAAGAAGGAGGAGGAGTAATGGAAACGGACATATTCGACTGACAGTTTGAAATTCTTTCATCGCGGAATACGATATACTTGGAAATACACGATGGAATTACGAAGAGAAGAAATTTCAGACGAGGAAGAAGAGGAGCGAAGCGTAACGGCACGAGTTACGAAATTTTGCCAAAAAGCAAAATTTTTCTCGATGTATCTATGTAGCCGCTCTCGATGTAGAAATAAATATCGAAACAATGGAAACTAGCGGGATACCGTTTCCAGGTCGGGATAAATCCCTGCTCGATACCTGAGGAAAGCATCAAAAGTGTCTCTCGTCACGAATGCAGCACCCGTTCAAAATGTATTTTTGCACGGACTTTCACAAACACGCGAAACGCCCGTTCAAGTGTGCTCGCCCATATAAGCATAACAATAAACCTCTCGAGCTTACGGAAGCAGAAAGAGGCATTTCCAACCCCTCGACCAGAGCTTCGCGTTCTCCCCTTGGCCATCCCTTCCGTTCCTTTTTTTCCCCCTTTACTCGCGCCACCACCACCAACACCAGGTTCAAAGTTTTCCCGAGAAATGTTAGCATCTAATGCACGTGCAAATCTCATTCGTAGGAAAAAATGCTTTTCATCCGGTGGAAACCAGGATAATTCGGTCTAATTTCGTTAACGTTCGAAACGTGCTCTTCTTGTACGCGCATTCTACTCGCATTATCCTTATCCCGGTTGATACATCAACGTTCCAAAGATTCCAAGATGCGCGAAATGAAAATCAGGAAATGTTGACCGATCAATGTTGATCGCCATGTGTTATATTCGAAGCAATCAACCGTTGATCCCGGCCAGCTTGTAAAGTTCTGGTTAATATTAAAGAATATCGGGCGGATTTTTATCCTTTATTATCTTTCTACCCAAAGCGCTTCGATACATTCTTTCCCGTAAAAAGTAGTACCGTGACCATATTTCTTTTCCCTTTTCTTTTTTTTTTTTTTTTTTTCTTTAATACACGTTCGTAAAAGTTACGGAACAAACGAGAGGATTTGAAAATTAAGCCTTTGGCGAAATATGTTCGCCCATATCCGCTAAATTCCTACCATTTATTATACTTGGGATGACAACAATGCAACAACAATAGAGATAAGACGAAAACAAAAAGAAAACGATAATCATGCTCCTGGGCGTTGGACGATATTTCCACAAGGGCGCGCGATAACGAGAATTTCATGCTTGCGCTTTAATCTATGCACTCACAGGGAGGCGTATCATCGCGGTGGAAATTTTGGCATGGTATGGAATCGAGAAGATACGATACACAGGGTATTTAACGCCGTGCGATCGAGAGATCGTTACGTAATTAATCACGAATTATTTTACCTCATTTTCTGCTTCACAGAAGAAGAAATCGCGGCTGATCGATTCCCAGCATATCGTTATAATCCTGATCGTTTTCTCGTTGATCATGTTCGGCATGAGTTTCGCCTTCGTTTTCAACTGCGTGCGGAAATTGATCCGGGACCATCGAATCATCCAAGTAAGTAGATCTTTCGTATTTTATCCCGCTTTGCGATCTGTAAAAGAAAAAAAAATCGAACAACGTTAAAAGTAAGGAACGTATAAAAATATAGGTAGGATATTTCATTCAGACGACGATACATTTTAATTCTAGTAGTGTTAATAACATTTGTAATAAACGCATGAATTTATATGTGTATAATTACATAAATGTGTATGTGTAATGGCTTGAAAATTTCGAGGGATCTCAAAATATTGTGTACAATATCGTGGAAAAACATATCGACAAATCATGAAAGACTAGAACTTCTTTGTGTATTACATAAAATTCACTCTTGTTTCACGTTCCCAGAATTTCAATTACTTTTCGAACAATGGTGAAATTTCGATTCGGTCCACGATTCGTACTTGTCACGTACAATCATACGTGTCTAACATTCACGCAACGCGGAAAAAGGATTGATACGGTACAATTTGAAATAAGTCCATGGTTCGTTTCATCTATTCACGAAGGAACGGAGAAGATTAAAAGGTTGAATCACAAAAGATGGGATATATATATATATACATACATATATTAACGAAAATTAATTTTGAACAGATATTCAATTTAACAATGGCGGCAATGTTTAAAAATTATTAACATATCCTGTGATATTTCAATCGTAACATTTTATTTAATTAGAGTTATGAAATATTTCGCTTCCAAATACGATTCTTCATTTATTTCAACGAGAGAACTAAATATTCCTGTACTATATCCCTCGCGGTAAAACGATACTATTGTTTGATTATCTCTGGAATTACGTTATCTGTAATATAAATTTAATAAGATAACCAGACGCAGGCAGGCTTTATTTTGTTTAAAAAAAAAAAAAAAATTGACGAAAAAAAAACATTTAGTAATGAAACCGACGGTTTCTATAAAATATTAACAGAATAATGAATGTTTTGCAATTTTAATCCTGTAAATCAAAAATGATGTACAACGTGTATTATATTCGTTCAAAGTCAATAGCCGCTGCGTCATTTGCAAAGCTTTTTAAAATTGAAATGAAGAGTGATTTAAATAACGTGTAACGAAATACAATATTCAAAAAATGGATAATGTTTTATATTTTATAAAACAAATAGTTTATTGCAACGCGTGTCCACAATTATTAATCAAATAACCGATGATGGTTGAAGATAATGTAATTTATAAATGTCCGGGAAAGAGATGGTGCGCGGTTTAAAAAAAAAAACGATAACGCGCATGGCAACCGCGAAGTTAACAGAGAGCGGCAACTTTTAACGACTCTGCGCTATTTATTCTTCGATATTTGCCCGACTAATTGAAAGAATTCGTTTTTCTGTGTCCAGGAGCACATCAGACAGTCGAGAGAAAATCGATTGGACGAACTCGGCCGTAAGGCAACACCCTGCCCGATCTCGTCCTCGAGAACAGACATCAGGGATCGAGTGAGCGACTCGCCGAGTCTGGAAGTGATCCCGAGCAAGGAACTTTTGCCGCCCACTACTTTAATAGCGCAAGATTACACGAAAGATCTCGTACTTGAAATGGCGTACAATACGAGAGATATGCACGACATACACCAGAGCAACAACGTGAGCAACGCGACGCAGGAACGTTTGCAAGAATCGAGCGACGAGCCAGAGATGCGAGACAATTCTTGTCAGACGCGAGAAAGCCTCTTCGAGACGCGAATCCCCGACAACGTGATGGGATTCACGACATTCGGTGTCCGCGGACCTAGCTCGCAAAACGGGACCAATCATCTTCACTATCACCGTCATCATCATCTTCATCACCAAAGCCCGCCGCAATCGCGTCAAAGCTCTCAGCCTTCCCAGCAATCTTCCGAGCACAGCTCTCAACAGCAATGCTCGGGTTGTAGCCCAGCATCGAGGGGTCGGGACGGCAGCATGGGTATTTGTCCGAAACACAACCCAATCCCCGCACCGCCTGGCTGGTCTACCCACGAGTCCGGCGGTTATTCATTGCCTCCGCATCAAGGATCCGTTTATCCCGAACCTCCGGATTACCCGTCGTACCAGAGGTTTCAAAGCCCGAAACCAAGTAGGGAAAACAGCGTCTATCGTCAATCGCCGAAATTATTGAGGCAAGGAACGATCGGGTCGGGGGAGAGGTACGGCAGTTCTATCTACGGATCCGGGCATGGATCTAGTAACGCGTCGAGCACTCAACACACCGGTACGCCGAAATGCCCCGAGCAAACGACACCCGATCCTAGGTACAGAGCGGAGGCGGTGATAGAGGTGGATCAGAGGCGACCTTTCAGCATAGAGAGCACAAAGAGCGCGCCGGATGTGATCGCAACGCACTGACGCCGGGGTCCTGGGGATTGGGAGCCCTACAAGAGACGCCATCCCCGTCAAACTGTCACTGATACTCAGTTGCCCGGTAGGAATGACGGAAGCAAGGTCACTGTAGCCACCCAAAGCTCCTTGGACGACGACGCTTCGACCAGTTCCACGATGGAGGCCAACTCGTCCTCCTGATCCACGCATATTGGCGCGATCGATCGGCCTGATCAACTGGAGCGTGCAGATACGGACGGTATTAGTTCGTCCTTAGACAAATCTACTCAGCACGTAATTCAGGATTCCGAGACATCGAGATTGTACGCAGGGGCGCAAAGTGATCTTCCGTTAGCGAGATCGGTGGAAATCGACGGAACAAAAGAACCAAAGACTTGTTTGGGCAGTACCATTGGTGAAATAAGCGATGTATCCGTTTCGGAATCTATCGGGAGAAATACGGGAACATTTCGAAGTGATATCGAGATCGTACAGTCAATTGGACGCGATTCGATGCGGTCAAAAGAGAATTTTCCAGTTTCGAAGGTATCGTCGGTCCGACTGGCTTTAAAATTGAACGATCTCCCGATTCTGAGGCCCCCGGAGGCCTTCAGGGCTCCAATCTTCCGCTGCAAAACGCCGACCCTAGCGTGGCAGCATTGCGATTGCCCATCGCATTCCCACTTGCCACCGCGAAGATCCTCCGTGATCTGGAGTGCCTTGAAACACTACAGTCAGGAGCCCTTCTATAGAACTTGGCCTAACAGAACCGCCAGAAGGTTCATTCGACCATCGAGGAGGACCGTGGGCACTCAAAGTTCATTGGATGGCTCGCGATCGTCCCTTAGCGCTATTCGTTGCGTGGTCAGATCGATCGATATGACCGAAAGTTCGATGGATCTCGAGATAGGCGCCACGATACCTTTCTAGTGTTTATTTTTCATCCGAGAGGATTTTCTTCCTGTGTTGAATCGATTGGATTACGGACCAAAGAGTTTTCAAACGAGAACGCAATACTATCTCTATTATTGTTGATGTTACGATACAGAACGCTTAGAATCGTTTCTTGTTATTCGGAACGCTATTTTGCTAATCAGTGTGTTAGATTGCGAATTATGGTTATAATTACACGGCTTTCGCTATTGCTATATCTGTATATTCTTTTTAACGCAAACAACACGTATCATATCGCGTCGAAAACATATTAGCGAAATATACGTCGCGTCCTTTGTTTTTCACGAACATTCGTTTCCCGCCATTTTGTATATTCGCAATATCTTAACGGTCGTTAATCAAAGAGAAGGACTTACCATAATTTTCACTGCATTCTCTTCAATTACACGATACGTTGATACGTTGATACGTTGAACAACTAAAATACACTTTGCAAAATACAATTTGTGATCTAACACTCGTATTTGTTGAATAAATACAATGATTTTCGCGCGAATAGAATCGAGCCGAACAGAATGTAAACATATCGAGACCGAGACACATTTCGTACTGACGATAGTTATATCTGGATGTGTGCAGATGGCGTTTCGCGGCGATCATCTAGTTTTAATCGAAATACTTTGAGGTGATCACGTAGTGTTTACACAGTTGAGTAAAACTCGAAGTGAAGTGATAGAAAATTTATTGTGAAAAGCTGCAAGCGGTTATAAAAAGTTATCTCGGGCAACGAGTAAGTAGATTTCTGATTAAAATATGTCAACTCGCCTAATGAACATTGATATGTTGAACAAGTTGAACATAGCCTAACCCTTTTTTATACACGGTATCGATTTCGCGATTCGAAAAAACGTATGGATATGATACTACAATAGGCAAACTATTTTTTCACGGTATTTCCACTAATAGTCGAGCATGAGGCATAGTTATTCGTATCCGATTGAAAAAAGAATCGAAAGAATGCATTTATGAATCGATAACGTGTTACAGCTCGAATATGTCCGAAACGAATCGATCGATATCGACTACATCAATCGTCGTGTTCCTTGAGCGAGTGAAAAAAATTTGTTTGCCAATTTTTGTAAAAATTTCAAAATGACGAATAACCTAATTCTCTAGTCTCAGGATCATTAATTTCAGAATCACGTTCTAAAGAATTTATCTTTGTACGATAATATATTCGACATTTTTTTAGAAAATGTAATCGTGCACGCACGTTTCATTGACAATCGACTCGTTGCTTTCAGTTGTATGCCATTCGTCGATCGATCGATTGATTGAAAGAGAAATACAGGCTTTCGTGAAAAATTGGAATTTCGAGAGAAGCGTGCACCAAACATCTAGTAACAAGGTAAATAATTAAATTAGTCAATTAAATATTAAACAATCGAGCGAGGAAGAGAATAGGATTAATGTGAAACGAAAATGAACGAAAGAGATAGAACCAAAAGCGTGTTGACTGTAAACGTTGTATGCAGATATATTGTGAAGCTGTCAGGAATTTAGCGATTAGTAATCGACAAATTTTCGCTTCTGTACAGATTACGTATTAACGTTCATCGTTTAGGACAGAATGTACAGAGTGTACACATTTGTATATAAACGACACATGATCGTCTGTCCAAATGATACGTCAGACGAATAATAAATATAGTACTTTTAAAATAATCTTTATAATTGATCTAACCTCATCGTAATTACAATTTATAGAGATCCAATTTTCCTTTCCAATTTTTCATTGTAACATTTATTACAAAAATTTCTTCAAAATTTTTAAGATACTTTTAATAAAGGTAAGTTCGTATTATAATTGGCAACTTTAAAAAGTCATATTTTTTTCGAAAGAATGTTTTAAATTGCCAAATTATTCAAAATATCATTTTATTTTAAACGTAATAAATTCGACATTAGATTCTGAAACGTCATACGCATTTTCTATATTTTTTCTTCAATCGATGCTAATGTTTTAATCGAATTTATCTCGAGAATGATAAAATTTTAACAAAAGTATTGACCATTTTATTCGTTTTATTCGTTTAACATTATTAACTTTCTCAACACCTCGGGCGTTTCGATCCTTAATGCAAACTGCTTCTTCCGTATAGCTTTTAATTAGCTTTAAATGATTTACAAATCGTTGTAAAAAATTATTTAATAATTAGCTATCCTTTTATTTTCAATTACTCGCTCTTTATCTTTTTAAAATACATCGCGTAGGTAGGATAAGTGGGAATTATCGTAACGGATGGAAATTACTTTACGTGTAAAATATATAACCGACACCAAAAGAGTTAATAGTTCGCAGACTTTGCGCAAGAAAGCATAGCGTTAAACGATAAAGAGAATCTCTTAGACTTACTGCTTCTTTAATGGAAATCTAATCGTTTGGCGAAGGTAGTTAAAAAAAACTAAATAATGAAGACAAATGAGGTTAAATCGCGGCAAAACATTAACTGCGTTGATTCATTGCATCCTAACGTACATATTCATATAATATGTGCGCACACGAGCGATATACTATACATACTATCCATCTATGTGGTCATACGTAGTACCGTGCTCAGTCACCTTTATCTCTTCCGCATAATTTGTAATTTATGTATGCGCTCGGGTCCCTAGTATACACGTTGATCTGGGAGACCACATGACGACAATGATACATTATTTCACGGCAATTCTTCGCATCTCGCCTTACTCGATAAAATTTCGAAGAAATTTGAATTCCAGATTCGCGTTTACGGAATTCTAGCAGAAAGGGGCAATTCGCGTTGATCTTCGTTACTTGTTGAAATTTTTCACCGTATTTTGTTTCGAAGAAAGTTTTTATTCGATTATTCTCGCATTTAAATGGAATAAGAGAAACAGACAATCAAATAGTTTGCTGCAATTTAAATTATCGGATTTTAAGTAATCGATTACCTAAAACGGGATAATTACCGTTCGTGCGCCACTGTTCGCATTAAATTTTCATTGCAAAGTACACGCAACCGAGGGAAGGGGGAAACTAGCGAGTGGACACAAAAATACAGCAGAAACAAAGAACGGCAACTTGCATTAAACTTACGTACAAAATCTTTAATAATGTCGAGAGTTGTAAAAGAAAAAAAATGACGTTTAAATTTTTATATTCGAAGGATAGAGTTTTGCTGCCGCGAAAGTATTACGGTTTTTAGTCACGTTTAAAACTTTGAACTTTTTACGATAGTTTCTCTCCATGAAAAATATAAATAAGGATAAATACATGTGTATATCTCTGGTGGTTTTTTGCTATATCCGCATTATCCGTAAGAAAAGTGGCAAATAGGAAACTCATGATGCGGCATGCTATTACCCTTAGTCTCCTTGCGTGTTTAAATTTCATTTGTGCGTACGAATATCTCTAGTAGTTTAACTAACTTTGCCACGGTATTGTTACGGGATAGTTGCTGTTAACTCTAATTCGCAATACCTTCTCTCATCTCGATTTTCAACTAAATTCCATCTAATTCTCGTATTTACTGATTACGAGTTAATCTTTTTACGCACTTGTATTATTCTTTCTATTATCTGTGGTAATGCCTCGCAATAACATTTGCAATTTGATTATTAAATTCAATGTAAATAATACAATGCATTAACAATATCTTATTACTCTATTTATTTAAAATATCGATTAATAGGATGTTTATACATGCACTATGTAATGATGACTCTTAATACCAAAGGTTACTTATAAATATTTGGTTATAAAATAAACATAAATATTAATAACGCGAATAATAACGAGTTCCATAAAAATCGTCGTTTCAAACATCAATCTTCAAATCCCGAGTTAATTTTAATTTAATAGCTACGAGATATAATCTAAATTTTGAACACAGTGTACACGTCCCCTCCCAATAATCCATATGTAATTAAACTCGCGTATTCCGATCAAATTATTCATTACTCATAAACGAGTAGGAAATTTCAACGTTATCATACGCACGAATATTCGACTGGTCGTTTGACAAGAACAATAACGGACAAAGTTCGAACATTGATTTCCATCCACATGACTTTTCAATTTGTTCGCGATACCGAATTCCGTTATACCATAATTCCGCGATATCAAGATGGCTTAATCCGATTAGAGACCTTTTAGAGACGAAGATCAACCTGTTACCCGATTCACCCAAGCCTGTAATCTTTCGTCACTCGATAAATCACCTGAAAAATGAAAGATGTCAAAGAGATGATAAAGATGAGAGATACAACCTCGATACGAATCAACCGCGAGTTGTCTGAAAGAATAAAACGGATAAAAAGAGATAAAAGTTTCTTACCGAATGTAACGGATATACATTCTTTCCATTTCCTCTCTTTTTTGCCCTCTTCCTTTTCTATTATCAGTCATTTCCGTTCCTTGATGCGACAAGTATTTATCGAGAACGATTACGGATTGGCTTTCGGCCAACGTGTGTATCCCCTCCCACGATCTCATCCGATCCGTTTCGTACCATCGAATCGATGAGAAATCAACTATGAGAATGCACAACTCGAAAGAATCCATCCAGATGGCCGACTCTTCCATATGAGTTCCACGTTTCCGCTAAATGTTTCGCCATATTAAGAAATCTCGATGAATGAAACGAGCCAAGATAGAGAACTTTTATTCTTGAAAGGCGATCGGGCATTGGTACATGTTACGTTTCAACCGGTAAACGAAACGAGCAAAAGGAAATAGAGAAGGAACGGGAGAAACAAGCCTCTACTTTCTACTTTCCATCTGTATTTATCGAGACGCCCGTGGCTTACACGGCCGAATCGAAGTCGAAAGTTTTACGCTCATTGAAAGATCGTGTGCCTTTATGACGCCGCCTCGTAAAATAAGCATTTCGAGAGCGGAAAAAGGATCTTTTCTATATATATATATATAAAACTATCGGGCTAGAAGTAGAAAAGAAAAGGAATCAGGTTTATATAGAAGAGCGAGCGCTGTTCGAACAGCAGACGTCGCGGTAAATACATATACGGTTCACACAGGAATCGAGGGTAGATTCGCCTCTCTTTCCCAGCTATCGTACCAGGGAAAGATCTATGTTTTTGCCGAGCCACACGGCAAGATAAATTTCCCTTTCCTTTTCACCGCGCTGTTTAGCTTACGAAGAGGAAGCTACCTTCGGCCTTCCTAACCGTTCTCTCGAGAAAAATTCTCGAGAGGCGCGATCGTATTCGATGACACGATACAAAATCCAGGCCGTGTTGTCGCGTCTTTTTAAAATGTATTACACGGCGCGGCTGTTCCAACGCCGCCGTTCTGTTTCCACGGCGACAAAAAACGGCGATCATCGGCTCTCGAAGATTAATGTTTTCGCCGAAGAAAGATTTCGCGATGTAACGATCGTGGTAAATTTATTCGAAGAGCGAGAAATAAAAAAGAAAAAAAAAAAAAAAAGAAAGAAAAGAAAAGACAAGGTAGTTTGCTCCGCGCGGGTAAGTTGATCGAGAAAGAATTTGCCACGAGAAGAATTACTCATTGCTTTCGGGAAGGAAAGGGAAAGAAAAAGAGAAGGAAAAAGAAATTTACGCTTATTGGAGGATCACGATTTCATGACGCTGCGACGTCTCGCGCGGATTGATATACGACCACTAAAAGGACTTTTAGAACGCGTGGTGCCAACTTCGTGGTGGCAAGAATGCCTATTGGAAAATTGCACTCCTCGTCGCGGACGAGTTTGGTGGCCCATTATTCCTTGAAGGGTAGTATATTTTCTAACGTCTCGTAGGGTATAAATACACCTTAATGGCCGTGTCCTCGGAGGCGCGATCGACCTACTTATTTCGCCCGGCGGACCGACGAAAATTGGACAATACGTTTTATCGCCCTCCCTCTTCTTCTCTTCGTAAATATTCGTCTTGAACGAGCTTTTAAACAAGCGCACCAAACTGGAACACAAAAGCTTTTAAACAATCGCTCCTCGGCCAATTACTATTAGATAAATCAACCATTGAATTGTAAGATATTGATAGCATTGTCGATTATACATTTAAAGCTTAATGTTCGAAACGTGTGTACGAATGTTTGATCCATTTACACATCCCCTCGATCATTTCCTCGTTACAACATCTCTTAACTCAATTACAATCTCATTACGATTTCATCCCCCAGTGAAATTAAAAAGCTTGTCGATACTTTAATTAACTATAATCCATATTAAAATCTGCTGAAACTTGGAATATACTTCGAATATGAGGGTACATAAATTATCCGCACTACCCGGAAGATGAATAAGTTTCTTAATTAATATATCTTCAATATCGAAAACTTTCTTGCAACCCCCTCCCCACTAAGCGCATCGATACGTCTTTTACCCCTTACAATAGTAAGTTAAAGATCCATCTATTTAAATCTATCGATTATTATTTTATGTCTCCTCCCCCTTTTCCTAATTTCTTTCCTCCCTCCTTTCCCGAGCGTGAAAATAAAGACCTCAATGGGTCTCAATTTGTGGTCTCAATTTTCCGGCCGATTTGTCACAGGATAAAGGTAGATCGATGTATTCCGCGAGATTCGTATTCGGTCCCGTGTAAACAACGTCGTTTCCCAGGGTTTGGGGAAAAGGGAGCGGAAGGAGGACGAGATTGAACGTTATCAAGGCCGGGGGAAGGGTGG